CCTGAATTTTACATCTTAATCATTCGCTTCATTAAAAGCAAAATTAGTAATTATCAAATCTAACGTACGTGGAGACTATTGGATTTAAAACGGAACGTCTCAAAAATAATCAATAAAATGCGAACAGATTATATACCTGAACACTATACTCCCAACTATCCTAAGAATAACTCACACAAAAAAGAACAACTCCTTATATAATAAAACACAACTAAATAAGAATAACTCATAAAAAAGAACAAATTATATAAACAGATACTTACTATTACACTTGAAACAGCTGATGTGGAAGTACTTCTCCTGGACCCGGAGGACCTCGCCCGAGCACTTCTTCCCGCAGGACTCGCACAGTGTCTTCCCTGTTGGATGGGAGGCCGTTAGAACATGGAAGAATTCTATAGTTAAATTGGGTGTTAGCTTTTTCTTGTTAGGGATAAATTGTATTTCGGGGATTTGTAAGTTATTTTCTGGTTTGAAGTTCTGTTTTTTTGCTATAATTGGTGTTTCGTATTTTTGTGATTCGAACAATTATACTTATTTTTGTTTTTTATTATTTATTTTCATTTTTTTTTTATAATTTTTCTCTGGTTTAGCTTTGTACACCTTCCGGACCATTTCAAAATTGGATTTTCTTCCGACTATATACACTACATAACAAAACACTCATATATACAAAAGACACTCGTTTATAGATACAAAAAAAAAAAAGCACAACATTAAACAGCCAATGAGAGAGAGCGAGAGAGAAAGAAGACGCACGAAATAACGGGGGGACGAGAAGTAATCGTCTCCTCAGCCATACCAGCGGACTCTCCACAATGGGACAAATTAACCCGATACCATTACACAGTGGATGTCAGAAGTTGCTGTTCGCGGCGGTGGGCGGTCGTGTGGGTCGTGGTGGTTGCCGTGAAGATGGTGAACGGTGATGGGTGGTGGTGGGGTGGTGGGTGTGGTGGTGATGGTGGTGGTGGTGGTGATGTGTGGTGTGGTGATGGTGATGGTGTGGTGGTGGTATGGTGGTGGTGATGATGGTGATGGTGTGATGGTGGTGGCGATGTGGTGGTGATGATGATAGCGATGATAGTAGTAAAACATAATTGCAATAAACAAGACATAGACCAACGCCAACAATATCCATAATTACCATTTCCCAAGGCCATTTCGATGACGCGAGCGCCCAGGAATGGCGGCGGAAAGCAAACACACACTCCCTCCCCCTTCCCCCCCCCCCTCCCTCCCTCCCACCTCAACCCTCTGCATTCCTCTTTTTCCTCGCGTGTTTTCGTTCATCTTTTATTCGCCCGCCGACATTTTATCTATCTGTTTGTCTATTTAGGGTAGAGGATAGAGAGAGAGAGAGAGAGAGAGGGAAGGAGACCAGGGTTTCTGTTGTCCGGCTGCGAAGTGTGAGTCACGGATCCAACACGAGGGTCAATGTTTTGGTTCGAGATAAAGTGAAACCGTGGACGGGAAACGTGGCTGAGGACGGAGGCGGGGCGAAGAGGGAAAGGGAGGAGGAAGGGAGAAAGGAGAAAGGAAACGGAAGGGAGAAAAAGGGGAGAGACACGGAAAGGGAGAAAGGAGAGAAGGAGGAGAAGGGAGAGAGAGAAGGGGAGAAGGAAGGGAGGAAGGAGAGAGAGGAGAGAAGGGAGAAGAAGGAGGAAGGAAAGAGAAGAGGGAGAAGAGAGGGAGGAAGGGAGAGAAAGGAAGGGAGAAAGGAGGGGAGGGAAGGAAGGGGAAGGGAGAAGAAGAGAAGAAAGGGAAGGGAGGGAGGAAGGGAAGAGAAGGGAGGAAGAAGGGGAAGGGAAGGGAGGGCGAAGCGGAGAAGAGAGGGTGGAGGAAGGAGAGGGAGAAGGAGGAGGAGGAAGGAGAGGAAGAGAGAGAAGGGAGAAAGGAGAAGAGATGGAAGGAAAGAGGAATGGAGAAAAGAAGAGAGGGAAGGGAGAAAGGAGAAGAGAGGGGAAGGAAGAGGAAGGGAGAAAGAAGGGATAAGAGAAGGAAGAGAGATGGGTAGGGGAAGGGAAAGAAAGGGCGGGTGGAGAAGGAAGGGAAGTGGGGGAGGGAGGGTAGTAGAAAGGAGGAAGAAAGAAGGTGAGAAGATAAGAGAAGAGAAGAGATGAAAGAGGAAGGGGAAGAGGAAAGAAGGAGGAGAGGAAAAAGCGAAGAAAGGGATCAGGCTGAGGAAAGGAAAAGGAAACAATGGAGAGTTAACGATAGAAGCAAGATAAGAAAAAAGAAAGGAGAAGCAGACACAAAAGCAGAAGAG